GTTACTCCCCGACACTGGAGCTGAATAAATACTAATTAATGACAAATTAAACATCTACAACTACATTAATAAGCAGGTATTTTGATCTTTATAAGTTTGCCCTAAAATAAAATGTTACAGAATTTTTATTAAACTTCAAAATCAGCACAAAATACTTTTACTTTTGACTCTTTAAGTGCATTTTTAAACCGGTACTTTAATACTTTTAATTAAAGCTGGAGTTTCTGTCAAATGCTTTCCTTCATGGAGACTGGTCGTCACTTTGTCCGGAATGTTCCACAGTACGGCATTAAACCGTTCCTATCTCCATGGAGACCAAACTAGATGGAGTTACGAGTCGGATCTGTGGAGAGGCGACTGTGAGCGGGGAATGAAATGTTAGTTTCAGTTTTTTTCGTGAGCCAAGCGGTGCTCTCGTTTGAATCAGAAGTGAAGTTCAATCAGTTTGCTACAAAGACTGAGTGCGTTTACATGCACATCAATAACCCGGTTATGATCGGGTTTTTTGAGTATCCCGGTTTCTTGATGGTGCATGTATACGCAGTAACCCGGTTTCAGTAACCCGGTTATGGTAGTAATCCCGGTTATTAGGAAACCGGGTTACTGTAGCTGGTTTATTCCGATAGTAACCGGGTTACTTGTGTCATGTATACGCAGTACCCTGGTTACTGCAACATAAAGTTGAGTCGCATGCGTCAAAAAGACACTTTCCAGCCTTTCACACCAACAGTAGTGACATAAATAAATTGACCAACATAAATAAAGTACCAAACAAATGAAATGACTGTAAAATAAAGAGCTGACTAAACCTGCACACGTACAATCTGCACTGGTACGACCGCTGAAAAGCTAAAAACATGAACTATCTCCTATACTCTATACTCACAGAACAAACTCACCATCATCAGCACCTCTTCTGTCACAGAAATAACACACATAATCCACAGAGTCGTGTCATTTAGTCCAAAAGAAACTGATCGCATCAGCGGCGCAAGGAGCGAGTTGTTTTTATCGCCGCTAACAGTTTATGCTTAATTAGCCAAACGGTCTTAAGTTTCGTTTCTGTAAAACGTAAACAAATGTGATCACAGCTGAATTATCTGAATCAAACGGGCTGATGTGTCTATAGTGTTTATGGTTTATATGTTTGTAAAGAGTTGAGTTTATTTAAGCAGAAGATTTAATGAAGAATCTGCACAGTGGATTGTGGGAGAATCTCGTAGCTCCTTTAGCTTCTTATGCTAAAGGAGCTCACGGTTTGTATTTTCCTGGTTTATTAAAAATCGATTTAAGTTAATTTTTGCGCCTGCGCATTTGTAAGATTATGTCAAGAAACCGGGATACTCCATTTGATCATGTACACGCGGATATGAGTGTCCCGGTTTCTCAGTGCGCATGTAAACGCAGTAACCCGAATACTGACAGAACCGGGATATGGCTAATAACCGGGATACTGATGTGCATGTATACGCACTCAATGTTGCCTCGTCAGTTTTGTTTCATGCACACATGTTTGAGTAAGTCTTTATTATTCGCCTGTTGACATTTCCAAAGCTCAAACGCTCTGATCCACCTTGTGATGTCATGAAGCAGTAGTTTTTAAATTAACAAGCTCCTTTTACCTTTTTGTTTAGTAGAGATTGCAATTCCAGAGGTGAAATTATCCAAATGATTCTCGTGAAGGTGTGTGGAGTTTAAAAACACAGAAGAGTAGAGGGAGTAGAGAGTATAGATGCATCACGAATTGCGGACTTCCAGTTATTGTGCAATTCATACTGGGAAGGATTTTCCGAAAAAGTGAGCATGAAACCTCCATGTTTAATTCCCCAGTGGGATGCGTCTATTGTCAAAGTCGATCTTTTCAAGTCTTTTGAACCATATCACTTTTGTTTCTGGTTCTGATATTGTCATATTTTAGTTTTGGGATTCGGACATCGTTAATTGTTGTGGTTGTTGGATCCTAACAGCGGAAAACGGCTCGAGAAATTTGTTTGTGAACTCCAACAGTGCAAAAGGGAATCAGATGTGTGTGACTGCAAACCTCTGTTCAAACTGTTTCTCTTCCCAACAGAATTTAAAAATCGTGAAAGGTGAAGGCGATGGGCAGGATTGATCGACAGGAAGAACCAAAAAGGAAACGCTTGACTGTCTAAATCATCCCGAGTTTGCATGTAGAGCGACATCAAAGCAAAATCCCGTTTGTTAATGGAGAGGAGCAGAAGACAAACAGACTGAGCTGCACTTTCTTGTTCTTGTGGTTTTACAGCAACATCACGTCTTGGTCTCTTTGCAGTGGAAGGTGTTTCTTGGTGAACAGCTGGTGCCTTTCACTTTGGCGTTGACTTTTTAAATTCATAAACCAAGGTGGAGAAAGGAATCGGGATTTTGCTTTCTTGGCGCTCCACATACAAAATGTTCGCTGCAAACTCAGGATGATTTAGGCAGCCAAAGTTTTCCTTTTTGGTCCTTTTTGTGGATCAGTCCTGCCCATCGCCTTCACCTTTCACTATTTTTCAATTCCGTTGGGAAGAGAAACAGTTTGAACAGAGGTTTGAGTCACACATGTCTGATTCGCTTTTGCAGTTATGGGGTTCACAAACAAATTTCTTGAGCCGTTTTCTGCTGTTAGGATCCAACAACCACATAATTAACGATGTCCGAATCCCAAAACTAAAATATGACAATATCAGAACCAGAAACAAAAGTGATATGATTCAAAAGACTTGAAAAGATCGACTTTGACATTAGACACATCCCACAAACATGGCGGTTTGATGCTCACTTTTTTTTGAAAATCCTTCCCAGTATGAATTGCGCGATGACCGGAAGTCCGAGATTCTTGATGCGTGTATCACCACATGACATCACAAGTTGGAACAGAGTGTTTTCTGTCTGAGAGAAGAACTCAGTTTAAATATGCACGGAGTTTTCTGTTTGAGATAAGTAAGGTTTTTCATGAGGAAACAACATTACAGCACAGATCAGGCCTTTAAGACACTGGCAGCCCGGGTTCAGTTGGGACTGTAAACAGTGAGGGCACAGGCTGCACACGGTTCGTTTAAATCAGTTTTAAATTGTGATCAAAATGAGTCTGTCAAAGTGTTTCCACAAGAGGGCAGCAGAGGTGCACGCAGAAAGAGGGCGAGATTTTGGGCACAGTTAGATGAACAATGAAACATAAACTACTGTCCGTTTATTAGTGCCTTCAGAATTATACATAAAAATATCAAAATGTCTATATATCGTATCGTTTAATGTCATGATACAGTATTAATATCATGGGCTGCTGTATCGATATATCGCCAAGAGTATTTTTTGGTATATTTTACTCAATGATTTTGTTACAGAGCTACAGTTTTGTTGTTCGTTTAGTGGAGGGAAACTCGTTTATGCGACACATTTGACATTTTCACTGTTATTAATGATTAAAATGTTTGTGTTTCATATTAATTTTGCACAAGACATGGTTTAAGAAAGACTTTCAGTATCACAGCCAGCCTTTAGCCATTATATTTTTATTGAACTGTATCGAATCGATTTGAATAATATCGTATCGAACTGAAAGTGCACTGTATCGAGATATGTATTGGCAACTTCTTAATGATACCCAGCTCTAATTATACATTTACAATAGTAATAGGCATGTAATTAACTAAACTTCTGTTATTCAAAAAAAAAGGTAAAAAAAAGTATTTCCCTCTTTTCCCTTTATTTTTTTTCCATTTACTTATTACTGTTATTATTATTATTATTATTATTTTATATATAATATATATATATTTTTTTATGTATTTATGTATTTATTTGGTGTAAACTGTGTAAAGAAGTTGACTAAGTGAGTGTTTATTTTAATAAACATCAGTGCTTCTACAAATGTAAAGTGTTCAGAGGTGTTTTCTTTTTTCAAACTTTATTTAACAACAATTTCCAAATATCAGCATTGTCAGGATAAATATTTAAATAAAGACAAAAAGCTGAGTAAAACACACACACAAAACAACAACAACAACAAAAACAACAACAACAACAGAACAACAACAACAAAAACAACAACAACAACACAACAACAACAACAACAGCTACCAGGTCACGTACTCAAAATAAACATGTACCAGATTGAAAAGAGTGAGACGGAAATTTGTGAAAATCAAAAACGGATAACGGCCGTTTCCCGTTTCTGGGACGTCCGTGACTGTGATGCCGAACTTTTGTGCTGCATACGGACTGAACCAGGACTGATCCAGGTCCGGGACCAGAGCGGGACCGAGACCGGGACTGAGACTAGACCGGGACCAGACCGGGACCAGACCGGGACCAGACTGAGACCAGGACTGAGACCGGGACCAGACCGGGACCAGACCGGACTGAGACCAGACCGGGACCAGACTGGGACCAGAGTGGGACCAGAGCGGGACTGAGACCGAGACCAGACCGGGACCAGACCGGGACTGAGACTGAGACCAGACTGGGATCAGACCGGGACTGAGACCGAGACCAGACCGAGACAGAGATCAGGACTGAAACCGGGACCAGACCGAAACTGAGACCAGACTGGGACCAGACCGGGACTGAGATCGAGACCAGACCGGGATCAGACCGGGACTGAGACCAAGACCAGACTGGGACCAGACCGGGACTGAGACCGAGAAAAGACCGAGACAGAGATCAGGACTGAGACCGGGGCCAGACCGAGACTGAGACCAGACTTGGACCAGACCGGGACTGAGACCGAGACCAGGATCAGACCGGGACCAGACCAGGACCAGACCGGGACCGAGACCGAGACCAGACCGGGATCAGACCAGGACCGAGACCAGACCGGGACCAGACCGGAGGCTCAGAGCCCACGGTAGAGCCGGAGCTCGGAGCTGAGGCTCAGACCCTGCGGAGGCTCGGAATCCAAGCCTGGAGTCCGCTCTGGTCCCGGTCCTGGATCAGTCCTGGTCCAGTCTGTATTCGGTGCAACAATCCGACATCGCAGTCACGGACGTCACGTAAACAGGAAACGGCCGTTACTCGTTTTTTGCATTTTTCATTTAAACACAAAATCAAAAACTGAAAAAACGAATCATTATCTGTTTTTTTTTTATTTTGGTTTTGGAGACAAATAATGAAGAAAATAGTTTGTTTTTTGATTTTCTTATTTTTGGTTTTATTTTGAAAAACAGATGAACGAATGATACACGGATACAGAGGGGAAATGAACAGACTCAACAAACTGAAAAAATGGAACCCACGTTTTCTTGAAAGTCTTCAATGACCCCCCACGAGTACATCTGACTTTTTCCATGTTCACAAAATACAGAATGTCTCTAATCCAGGCGTGGAGTGTGACTGGAGCAGGAGACTTCCATTTAAGAAGAATAAGGCGTCGAGCAGTGAGGGTAACAATGACATATTTTTGATATCGAGGGTTCAAGTCTCAGCGGTGTTTTTATATTAAAACATGTGAATAATGAACAGTGTTGGGAGTGTGACTTTTAAAATGTATTCACCTACAGATTACAGATTACATACACCAAAATGTAGTTTGTAACGTAATCCATTAAATTACTTAAAGTGAGTAATGTAATCTGAATACTTTGGATTACTTGATTTGCTGTAGAGAAGCAAAGACGAGGAAATCGTAACATAAGATGTTTTGTCTGATAAAAGAAAATAAAAAGCCCAGACTTTACTGAACCAAATTAAAAATACTATTGATAGAAGAAGAGGAGACACGTCCACACAGCAGGATTTAGTCCTGGTTTAGACCTGGTTTTAGTCCTGGTTTAGTCTTGGTTTAGTCCTGGTTTAGTCCTGGTTTAGTCTTGGTTTAGACCTGGTTTAGACCTGGTTTATACCTGGTTTAGACCTGATTTAGTCCTGGTTTAGTCCTAGTTTAGATCTGGTTTAGTTTCTGGCCATGAGTGGAATTACTGATAAAAAAAAAAAAAAAAGGATATAGCCCAAAATGTAAAAACAGTAAAATCCCTCTGTGTAATCCATTTATTTCAACAAAGTAACTGTAATCCGATTACCACTCACTGAAACAGTATAATAATAATTTGTACTCTTGATTACGTAACTCTGGTACATGTAATCTGTTACTCCCCAACACTGATAATGAAATACAAATAAGTGAATCCTTTGTTATTGAGTTGTTTAAAGGGATAGTTTGGGTTTTTTGACGTGGATCATCCGCACTGACTTACCCCCGACGGCGTCCTGTGAGCCCAGATCCTGGCCGGTTTTGGTGCTGACGAAAGTAGTCCGGCAAGTTGGCTGAGGTCTTTCTTCTCAAAACAGTATGTGTACAAAAGAGCGATGTATTTGCCTCACAAAACCTTTGTCCTCGAAAAAGTCAGACCTCATAATCGCTTGGGGCTATTTTCTCTCCATTTCATTCCACCAGAACACTACGATATCTTGATTTACGGACAAAACAGCAAAATAAAACCTCCAGGATGGTGCAGAGTGGGTTAATGCGAACATTTTAAGACCGAAATGAGGAGTCTGACAGCAGCAGATACAGAAAGTGCTCCTCCTTTTCCTCCAGGTCAGTGAGCGTTCAACAGGTCGGGTCCAGGCTCAGAGGACTTGAGTTTGGGCGTCATCAGTAACTGAAACCAAAACAGTGTCAGTCATTATTCATGCTTATTTACATACGACATATTCTCATAAGTTGTATTCGAAATGACATAGGCTTGTTTGTCCTGTATTTAATGTTAAGCTACACCTGATTATCCTCCGTAGAGAAATTAGTCCTCCACATTCGACTGCTGCATCAACACGTCGGACACCTTACCGGGGGTGAGCTACACTCACCCACATGGCCTCCCACTTGTCCCGACCGGGCCGGAAAACGGGGAATTTCTTGTACAAGTCATCGTTAAATGCACATTTGCGCTTCGGTGTGTTGCAGACTGACCGACTGTGTGTGTCTGCTCGCTCCTTCTGAGTCGCAGACGCTACGAGAGACGCTCAGTTTAATGCCCCCAATGAAAGATCATGAAAATCCGGACATTTTCATCACTGTATGAGAACAAAACCCCCGGATGCAATGGACAGGACGCAAAAAAACTGACATGTCCGGGGAAAAACGGACATTTTCTTAAAGGTTGTATAGAGGATTTTTTAAGGGAAGAGAAATACAGCCACAGTCCTTTTTCAAATGTTGTGCATGTGTGACACCACCTTCCTCCTCCACAGCTCCTCAGCAGAAACATCTCCTCCTGCCTCCTGACTCTAGAAATCACGCTTGTTTACAGCCGTGCGTGTTCAGAATTACTGTTGAAGTGACCTGTCTAGAAATAATTTAGCGACTGACACATCAGTTTTTAGGCCCTTCGTCTGCTTCAGTCGCGCCATTACTGGAAGGAATCTCCAAGAATCACCCCAGTTTGGTTTTGCTCCTTTTCCCCTTCTCTTCGTCTTTCAGCGACCTCAAAAACTGACTTTCTTTTGCGACAAACTGGTCGTGGATTCTCATCCGCAACCGCAACAAACTTTGTGCGAATTGCGTAAAAGCTACAGTTTAAAAAAGCCTCTAAGAACCGCTGAATAAACCATGTAATCCCAGCGCCGATGAGTCAATTACACTAGAAACAGGGAGTTTGATTGACAGCCTAACAGCCAATAGAAAATGAGGGAGCCTCGTTTTCTATTGGCTGATGTTTATCTGGCTTCACTACGTCCACAGTTGATGGATTTTCATTCTTTTTTTTTTTGGTCATTATAATTACAAAGCTGCTGTGTCTCTGTAATGGTATTTTAAACTTTCATTGACAGTTTGAAACAAAAAAAAAAAATCCTCCATACAACCTTTAAGGCCACCACACACTACAGGATTTTTAAGAGTGTGATAAAAAGCGCAAACCACAGACCAAGCTCCCAGGTTCCAAAATAACCACCCATTCAAGTCACAGAAGTACACAGAAGAGGAAGTGGTGCTCTGTTTACCTCATGGATCTACGGTTTACCTCTGGAGGTCGTGTAGAAGTGACACCGAGGACGAAGAATTGAATGGATTTGGAGTGAGATGGAGAGTTTGGTTAAGCTTGTTCTGTTGTTTATGTTATAGTTTATCTGAAGAACTGTTCATATGTTCTTCTCTCTTCTATTGTTTTTACTACAACTTGACTTTCAAGATCAAATGTCCTGGTCTCTGATTTTATAAAATACATTTACCCCAAAAAGTGTGACTAATATATGTTTTTTTCTTCTTCATTAGACATTTTTGGCTGGTTCGACTTATAGCCCGAAAAACATGGTAGTATGAGGGAATTCATGGTCCGAGTCAAATTTGAACTGAACCATACTGTGAAGGCTAAAGAAATGAATAGTTTATAAAGGTTAAAGATAAAAATCGGGGGCAACGCTGTTTAAATTGGTGTAGTCAGTCTGTATACTCACAACAGTTTCTCCAGTCTCTGTTGGAGCTCCTGGACGTGCTTCTTCCTCAGGTAGTTTCCCTCCAGACTAACTTCTTTCAGATGTGAGGGGTTGGACTTCAGAGCTGAGGCCAGAGAGGAACAGCTCACCTCTGACAAACTGCACTCATACAATCTGAAAAAAACAAAAAAACAAAACACAAACGACAAAAGTGAAGTCCAAACTATTTCCATGTCATCTTCCTCTGACGATTCCGTTTTCATTCACTGCCGACTTGCTATGTTGCTGTTCCCTCATCAAAAACACGCCTGAGGAGGTTTAAGATGTCACCCATGCATGTTTGGGTAATTTAGCGATCTGAAGTGATGTGTCCGATTTTCGAAGCGTGTGCCGAGTAATCCGGAAAGGCTTTGGTGAGGCGCGTATCGAGGCTTGTATCGGTGACGTACGTGGTGACGTTCGAAGCCTCGTGAACCGCCCGTACCACGTGACCAGTTCAGGAAGTGTTTTGAGGATTTGGCGCGTGATTCGAAACACAAGGGCCAAAGAAACACAACAGATTCTCCCAAAACATTTTGTGGTGTTGGGTTATTGGGAGTTTGGTACATTCTATTTGAGATTCTTTTTTTTTTTTTTTTTTTTGCAATGGAGCCAGCAAGAAAAATTATATTTTCCCCTGTTTGGCAACATTTTGAGCTGATATCTCCTTACAAAGTATATAGTAATAATGATGTAATTTAATAAACAATATTACTAAATACACAAATTTGACAACACACTGCTTCCCCTGGTCTAATATATTTCTTGTAAAAAAAAAAAAAAATCAGTTGAAGTGTCTACTTTTTCTTTTAACTCAACCATTATATCATGAACACAGATTCCATGTTAATAAATTCACAATTTATGTTGAAATCACAAACATTCAAATATTTAATCATTCATTTGTTCAGTATAAATCTTTCCATCAGAACCACGATGATCATGTTGATCAGACAGCACCCTCCCTACACGCCACAACTGAACAAAGCCCAGAGTCACCGTGAACGTCACAAACAAACAAAACCACTCACCCATCACACTGTTGGGTTTCCTTTAAAGTCCAGTGCGGTTTATTTGTGAAAAACTTCAAAAATAGACCATTTAATGACAGTGCGTCTTATAATCCAGAGCGCCTAATAGCCCGGAAAATACGATAAATAAATATTGTCTAAATTGTACAAGCTTTTTTGTGGTGTCCTAATACTTGGAAAAGAGTAAACTTCACAGGGACAGGGCCAGAATCACCTAAACCTGCATTTTTCATTAGATTACAGATGAATATTTTGTACCTAGGGCCAAGAATTTGGTGTGGCGCTGGCACCTCAGAGTGGACACTGCCTCCTTCCCTACGTGTAGTTGTGTTGATGACCGAGAAGGAGCTGTGGAACGGGGGGAGGGTGTAACAGTAAGAGACAGTGAACTGACCTGAGAGTCTCCAGTCGACAGTCTGGACTCTGCAGAAAACCACACAGATGAGACACTCCTGAATCACACAGGTCTGTGTTATCTCCAAAGTCTAGTCTTCTCAGATGTGAGGGGTTGGACTTCAGAGCTGAGGCCAGAGAGGAACAGCTCATCTCTGACAATTTGCAGCTGCTCAATCTAAATAAAAAAAACAAAAAGAAAGCCTGTTTAGAAGGATTGTACTTTGGACTAAACGCTTAAACTAGGGTGACGTCCCTATTTACCCGGGACAGTCCCAGTTTGGAGCCTTGTGTCCCCTGTCCCAGCAGATTTATACAAAACCACTGATTTGTCCCAGTTTTATATATGAAATGTTCAGGATGTCTTGATTTTTGACCAATTTGATCCCTGCCACCAGTAAAGAGGTACAAACTGTCACCTGTTTAGGTAAAATACAGAAAAGCTGCTTAACCCTCGTGCATCCCTTGAAAAGAATCACACCATTATTTATGTACATTTACATATAATGTACACTGGGAAAGAATACCACAATATTTTTATGCAGTGCGGATTTTTGTCCAACTTTTTTTATATCAGTGTCTTCATTTACTTCTGTCCTAATCATACACACCAAATATTATATAATTCTTTGAAATTTTAACCCCTAAATGCCATTTTTGACAGCAAAAGTCTCAAATTATGTGCATGAAAAAAAGAAAAAAAAAAAAAGATTTTTTTCTATATCTTTCAAGTAATTTTAATGAGTTTGTGTTGGGATTATCAGAGGTTGGGGAATCCTCTAGAACAGGGGTGTTCACAGTTTTTCAGCATGTGAGCTACTTATAAAATGACCAAGTCAAAATGATCGACCTAATACAAAGCCAAGCAAACTGCACTGAAACACTCTGTGCCCCTTTTTAGATTCTCCCCCACAGTTTGAGAACCTCTTCTTTAAGAGAACTTCCTCTGGCACTTTACACAAAACTGTGAAAAAGTGAAGGAAGATTTTTAAACCTGTTTTTTAAAGTTCCAAACTGGAGTTGCATTCTTTTCTGGTTTTGCAGTGATATTTACCAGCCTCTGCACATTTACCAAACCAAACGCACATCGTGACAAACACAGATGCATTTGTGCACTTTTGTTAGACAAACTTCAGCCAAATGTGGCAGTAGGTTTGTTCTGTAGATCCGCTCTATGCTGTAGACCTGCTTTGTGCCAACACTGGAACACAAATTTAGACTCGTTTTTGCTTCATGTTTGGTCTTGCTCTTCTAATCAGCCGCACTGTGGGAGGGGCTTGTGTTCGCTGTACGCAGGAAGGAGCGAGAGCGTGAAAAGGCGAGGGGCGGCGTGCTGACGTGAGGCAGATGGACAGGTAGGATGTTTAGGAAGTTTAACCTAAAGTTTAGTGCACAGGCTCCACTGAGACGCCCCACACGCTCCTGCACCCCGGTACAAGTTTATTACCAACAGCAGCGGCCGTAACGAAATATGATCACACATGTTGAGTGTCAGACCTTGAGTGAGAGACAAGACCGAGTCCAAACGCGAGTCCAAGACGAGACACGGCGATCTACCCACACGACCTTGACGATCGACGTATTGAGCACCCATGATCTAGAACACACCCAGATCATTTTAACCTCAAATATCTGTCTCTGTCCTTCAGTCTGGTGCATTGTACAAATGTCTTTCTATTGATATAATCTTATGGCCACACCGGCCTGTTGAAGCCTGATTGTGTCAGACCTCAGAAGCTCAGTAGGGCTGGTCCTGGTTGGCATTTGGATGGGAGACCACTGGGAAAATCAGGAGCCACAGGGCAGCGCCAGTCGGAAAAAACAGTTGTTGTGTCCTTAGGCAAGACACTTCCCCCACATTGCCTAGTATGAAAGTGGTGTGTGCGTGAGTGATGGTGATGGTCGGTGGGACCAATGGCGCCGATTGTCATGGCAGCCACGCTTCAGTCAGTCTGCCCCAGGGCAGCTGTGGCTACAAAAGTAGTTTACCACCACAGGGTTTGGAGTGAATGAATAATGCTGAATAATGCTCTGTAAAGCGTCTTGCCTGACAAATGTCTGTGAAAATCTCTATATAAATAAAGACTTACTTATAATGGAAGATACAGTAAAAAGAAAAAAATATCAAAAAATTCAAAAAGACACTAAAACAAACATTTTTTGAGGATTTTCAACACCAAAAAAAAAAAAAAAAAGAAAAAGAAATCAAAAGGTGAAAATATACTGGCAGTTATGTCAGTAAATAAGACACTTTGAATGGAAGTCAATGGGACAAAAATATACCTAAGGACCATGGGTGTGATTATTTTAATTATAGATTGTTCAATTAATGTGATTTTTAAAGGAAACACAGAAATTAAAAATACATCACAAACTACACAAACTGGCCAATTTTGGTGCTATTTGGAGCAATATGGTCAAAGTTACGCAAAACAAAAAAAGTTGAGATGTAGAAAAATGTACCGAGGGGCGCAGGAGGGTTAAAAATGATCAAAACACAAAGAAAATGTGACTATACTGACTCGCATCTAAGTCATGAATGGTCACTGCAAAACAATTTTCCTTAAGTACTCGCTTATTCCACAATTTTAATATTATTAACCACCCCAAACCGAGGATGTCCCAGTTTTTGGTTTTGAAAATCTGGTCACCCTAACCTAAACCCTGCTCAGAATCACATTTCAAATAGAGTGAACACACTGGGCACTACCTGGACTAAAGGGAGAGTGAGGGGAGAGGTGGAGCTGAGTCTGGAGGTATATGGTACAGTGGTGTAACAGGTAACTCCACCCCTGTTGCCAGATGTTTGCAATCAGTGTTTGCATGATGTCACCAAGCACCTAATAAAATAAGAATAAGCCTGATGGAACTTCATGTTTTTACAAGTCTTAGTGTTTGTTGAACAGACCTGAGAGTCTCCAGTCGACAGTCTGGGCTCTGCAGAAAACCACACAGATGAGAAGCTCCAAGGTCCCTCAGGTCTGTGTTACCCCCCAAGTCCAATTCTCTCAGATGTGCCGGGTTGGACTTCAGAGCTGAGGCCAGAGAGGAACAGCCGGTCTCTGTCAGTTTGCACCTGTACAGTCTGAGTAAAAATACACAATAAGAACAGATGTAATGAGAGCATCATTGGAGAATTTACAGTTAGATCTTGTCCAGTGTGGTTTTATATTTGTTCTGATATAGCTCAAGATCATTCTCAGGCCGTACTCACATCAGAAAAGTGCTTAAATCAGCTTTTTTGAGCTGGATCAGATACAGACTTTATTTTTTTCAGCTGGTTCGGATGAGGTCTCATTGAGCAAGTGGAGTATAAAAAGTAAACAAATGCACATCTGTGACGACGACGCACACACTGGACAGAACCAACAGGTGCAGGGCAAATCAGAGGCCAATACAGCTTCATTAGGTCATGAATAAATAAATATGAATAAAAGAAGAGTAAAATTGTAAAGTAGCAGTCTATTATTTTGTATTTTTATTGAGCAAAGAGACAAAGTATAAGTACTATTAAAGTATAAACTGAGATTCAGACAGAACACAGTAGTCTGGGGGGCAAGTGTCTGCACCAGCGGATAACCATGGACCAAGAGCACACAGGAACACCAGGAACACCAGGAACACCAGGAACACCAGGAACACGCGGTGCAGTTCAGTTCAGCTGGATCAGGCTGTCACGAAGGGCTGCTAACTGTTTAACTGGTACAGTCATTTGGCTGTAGGGTTCAGCGTGCACAGCTGAAAATCTCCCTGTGGAGTTCTTAACATTTTTTTTTTTTTTCCTGGATGAATGGATTTTATCCTGGACACGTTGATTTAAATGGACTAAACAGGGGTCAGCCTCAGCACTTGGAGGCGCTGTCAGAAGTTTGGTTTGTGCGTCCTGTCCCTGCACTTGGTCCATACTTAAAACGGTAAGAAATATAAAAATAATGCATTCCCATTTTGTGTGCTAAATGATCACTGTATGTGGCTGGTTTATGCATTACACCTTTACACTATCAAGCACCATGTCTCTTTGTTTCACATCGAGACATTTGTATTCAGACCATAAGAGGGCTGCACCAGAATCCGACTGAAACAGATCCGCTTGTTTAGTCTGGATCAGCGTTCGCTTGTCTTTATTCACATCTGAAGTAAAGTCTGGACGTTCAGGTGTTATGGGCTCAGGCCTCCAGCTCTTCCAGGGGAACTCTAGGGGAACTGAACTTTAGTTCGTTTTAATCGGACTAAAGTCTGTAGGTGTGAATATGCCATAGTGCTATTCAGGAAAGGTTTGTTTCTGTCCTGTGAATATGATCTTTTTAGTACCAATACCTGTTCAAATGTTCCAATACTAGTTATAGTATCAATTAGTATCAGATTTTTTTTATAATTTTTGACTAGCTGGTAATACACCATCTCCATATTCATAAAACAAACTGCAGAACACTGTGGAGGCCTCTCACTTTCCATGAAATCCTTCTTCAAACCCTCTCTCGCCCTCTCTCATTTATTTGGACAATGTTTTTGAAATCAAGATTGATAACGACTTACGAATGGCAGTCTGAAAGTCTTGTTGTCTAAAACATTGTCCAAATGACTAGTTTGGAAACGGGAGGTTTTGGAGGTTTTCTAATCCTACAGGAAACGAAAATGGGATACCTGAGGAGTTATGTGAGCTAATGCTGCACATTGTGTCATGGCTGAGCTGGAGCTGTGAAACATGTGGAGTGTGTAACCGTAAGAGACAGTGAACTGACCTGAGAGTCTCCAGTCGACAGTCTGGACTCTGCAGAAAACCACACAGATGAGACACTCCTGAGTCCTTAATGTCTCTGTTGCGTCCCAGATCTATTTCCCTCAGATGTGAAGGGTTGGACATCAGAGCTGAGACCAGAGAAGAACAGCTGGACTCTGACAAACCACAGCTTTTCAGCCTGGATCAAGAATACAACAGAATAATTGTTTGAACTGAAGATTACTATGTTTGTATGCATTGTTTAACTTAGTAAGTTAATAAAGTAATTTCTCAACCCTCTGGTGGGCCTATTGATCAGTAAGGAGAATGGACTGACCTGAGAGTCTCCAGACGACAGTTAGGACTTTGGAGTCCATAACATAACACAAGTATTTCTGAGTTCACAGCTGTGTTATAGCTCAGGTCTAAGAGTCTCAGGTGAGAGGGATTGGACTTCAGTGCAGAAGCAACCACTTCGATGTGAATTTTTGAAAGTTCACAATTAGAAAATCTATGAAAATAAATAAATTAAGAGTTGAATAACTTGTTCCTGTAAAACAAGGGACACTTTTACAATGAAAACTTACTGAGCACTTCTACAGTTTCTCACTGCTGAGACCATTCTCCGTCGTCCTTCACCAGACGTGTTGTACTTCATTGGGACCAGTTCCTCCAGGACCTGCTCTGACATCTGCAGCATGTAGGCCAGAGCCGAGCACTGGGTCACAGACAGTTTCTCTGACCTGTCCTCTGACTTTAGGAAGTCCTGGATTTGCTGGTTGACCGTGTGGTCGTTTAACTCTGTCAGACAGTGGAAAATGTTAATGCTTCTGTCTGGAGAGGATTTGGTGTTCATTTCTTTCAGTTTGCAGATGACTCTTTCTCTCATCTCTGAGGTGATCTCTGCTGGGCCCAGAAGAGCTCGCAGAAGCCTCTGGTTGGACTCCATTGTGAGTCCATGAAGGAAGCGCACAAACAAGTCCAGGTGCCCGTTAGGACTTCGGAGAGCTTCTTCCAGAGCTGCCCTGAGAAAGTCGCCGAGAGTTGATTCTTTTTTCAAGAATTTAAGAAACACAAGCAGCTCCTCTTCTTTTTTAAAATTAAAGCAGTGGAGCAGGTAAACTGCTGCCATAAACTCCTGGACGCTCAGGTGGACGAAGCAGTAGACTGATTTGTTGAAGAGGACACTCTCTCGTTTAAAGATCTCTGTGCAGAGTCCTGAGTAGACCGAGGCCTCAGTCAGGTCCAGACCCACCTGCTCCAGGTCTTCCTCATAGAACATGATGTTTTCTTTCTGCAGATGTTCAAAGGCCAGTCTGCTCAGCTTCAGGAGCAGCTCACAGTCGTCTGTGCTCAGCTCTCGACCACTGCTCTGCTCACTGTACTTCCTCTTCCTGTTGGTCTGCACTAACAGGAAGTGGGCGTACATGTCGCTGAGTGTCTGGGGCAGTGCTCCCCTCTGATTGCTTCTCACATGTGGTCCAGGACTGTGGCTGTGATCCAGCAGAAGACTGGGATCTGGCACATGATGTGGAGGCTGCGGGAGGTTCTGATGTGGGACAGGACGGTCTTACACTGCTCTTCATCTGTGAACCTCTTCCTGAAGTACTGCTCCTTCTGATGGTCAGTGATGAAGCCCCTGACCTCTGTCACCCTGTGCACACACTGCGCTGGGATCTGATTGGCTGCTGCTGGTCTGGAGGTGATCCATATAAGGGCAGTAGGAAGCAGAGTGCCTTTGATGAGGTTCACTAACAGCACGTTGACCTCTGACCTCTGTGTGACCTCAGAGATGACCTCACAGTCAAAGTCCAGAGACAGTCTGCTCTCGTCGAGGCCGTCGAAGATGAACAGGAGTTTAGAGACGGACAGAGTGTGTGCTGTGAGCGTCTGTGGACACAACGAGAACATGAACAAGAGGAGACATTTGAGTGTGATCAGGTTTATCCACACATGGAAACACACACTCACATACAGAGGCTTTGACTCAGTGTCAAATACCTTCTAAAAATGACTCGAGACTCAAGTAGAAGAGCAGATAAAGGAGAGTCACCTGTTTTACCAGCACTGGATGGAACACTTGTATCAGCTCCATCAGACTGTAGCGCCCCCCTCTGACCAGGTTCAGCTCTCTGAAGGACAGCGGCAGCACCAGGTCCAGATCCTGGTTCTCTGAGCCCTGGGCCCAGTCCAGAGAGAACTTCAGGACTGAGAAGGTCTTCCCCACTCCAGCCACGCCGCAGGTCAGCACGGCTCTGATGGACCTCTGCTCATATAGAAATGGTTTAAAGATGTCCTGACACCTGATGGGAGTGTCATGGGCAGTCTTCTTGCAGTAGCTCTCCAGCTGAGTCTCCTCGTGTTGAGCACCAGCCTCTTCACTGAGGCCCTCTGTGATGTACAGCTCACTGTAGATGCTGTTCAGAGGAGTTGTACTTCCTGTTTCAGCTCCTTCAGACACACTCTCAAATCTGTGCTCCAGACTGCTCTTATAGTCACCTGAATAAAGCAGTATACAGTTTGGTTAGAATATACTAGAGCTTGTATTTGTTACAATTTGTCACCAAATACATCTTGGCTTGTTCACACATATGAACAATGCACATCTAATGGTCACAAACTAAAACTCTAGGTTAGACAAGTCAAGAGTATGTTTGTATATAGATACTTATGGATATTTATAATGCAAAATCTACTTTTTGGAGTTTTCAGCCATGTTCTTATGTTGTCCCCTCATCAAAAACATGCCTGAAACGGTTTTAGCTCTGTTCAAACCCTCTTTATGGTTAGCAGTAAGATTCTATCCAAAGCTTAACCCACAAGCCATGCAGTAATTTTTCATAAATATAAAAAGCGTGATACAAAACAATAGACCACATTTTCACAAGCCTGATGCAATGTGCAGTACTTTCATTAATGCAATGACTGCCAAAACTGAAATCTATTAAACATAAACATCACAACAGGGAAAATCCATCTAATAGTGCCCCCCAGTACACAAGCATATCCACAAGCATCCTCCATTTTATCCAGTATTATGGCAGTCCAACCACTGCACAGTAAGGGGGGTAAAATCATTTGACTAAATGATTGAAACCTTGCAGATTTCTTTGTTTAGATCTGATAAAAAAAAAAAAAAAAAGAAGTCAGTTTAGTGTTTTATCTGTATACGATGGCAAACATCTCCCATTATCTACGTGTTATCAGGAGCCAAGGTTTACTCCACTATAGACACATTGAGCTTTTCCTGATTTTTTTTTTTTTTTCGTACACCATTGTACATCAGCGTTCAAGTGTAGGGCCTCTCACTTTGGACACAGCTGTGAATGCGCAGTCCTGCTCCACTCTGAGGGCGATCGCAGATACCACAGCACTCGTCCCAGGCTGGAGAGGAGACTGGACCGTCCAGGACACTGCCACACAGACAACAGGACAATGTGGACAAAGAGACTCCAGGTCCTGCCCCTTTGAAACCGCAATTTCTTTGTCAACATTGTCAGTAAAACAGGTTTATAAAGGCAGCAGAGGTTGTAAAAATACATGTACAGTACCAGTCAAAAGTTTGGACACACCCTCTCATTCAACGTTTTTTTTTTTCTTTATGTTTACTTCTTTGTACATTTTAGATACATATGGAAGACAACAACAACATTTTTAGTCTCCACCTTTTACTTCATGATCTCATCAAGTCTGAAATGGTTTTCCCTTCACCGCTGTGCTCTGTCAAGGGTCAAGAAATGCCAAAAGTGGAAACCAAGACTCAAAGCAAAGTGTGGCCATAAAAAAAAAAAAGTAATCTAAAATAAGTTATTTTTAATGTATTTTTTGTTAACTACATGTGTTTATTTGTAGTTTTTATGCCTTCAGTGAGAATCTACAATGCAAATAATCAAGGAAATAAACGAAAAAGTGTGTCCAAACTTGTGACTGGTCGTGTATTATTATTTTTATCCAGCTCTGGGTCAAACATCTAAGGTTCAAAAATGCTATTTTTACAGTAAATACAATTGAAAATCTGTGGTTTGCTACAGTCGCCATCATCACTGGGGTTGTATTATTCTCATATTATAACTTTAGAAATATTATTGCTTTGTCTAGAATGTTCCACAGTATAGATTAAACCTACCTATCACAACAGAGATGAGCAGGTTACAGCACTTCACTACATTACAGTTCAGATCTGTGGAGAGTCGCTCCTATTCACAGAAGGAATTACTGTATTTTTGGGCCAATAGAAACTCCTGTAATGAATACATTCTATCTGGATATGTTTAATGTCATGCCACGGAACATTCCAGGTCAAGCAATAACAAATCCATGGAGAGAAGTAGGTAGCAGACCCTCCACCAGAAACGTTTAGAATTTGAAGTTGAAGTAAATATGACCTGACGAAGACGCCACATGTCAAAATGCCTTCGCTTGTCCCATGTCACCATTAAATTACTTTTATTTTCATTCCAGCAGAATACCTCAGATTTTTTTTTGGACCACTTTTTACTTTAACACAGTATGTTTCACATTGCAAGCTTAGTCGTCTTCACTGTGTCCTCTTAGTTCACTGTTTGTTAGTGTCTGAGCCTCGTCCTTGAGGAGCACCTGTTGTGGATGTGATAGATAAAAAAGAAAGTCTGTTGATATTATAAAGAGAGTTCAGATGGTACCAAAGATATAAATACTAAACACTGTACTATTTACAAGGGTCATTTCAATTGATTGATTGCATTTATATAGCATCTTTCAAGATACCCAAAGAGCTTTACAGTTCATTATTCAGTCACTCCACACTCAATGGTGGTAAACTACTACTGTAGCCACAGCTGCCCTGGGACAAACTGACATAAGCAAGGCTGCCAATCTGCACCATCAGCCCTTCCAACCACCACCACTCACACACACACTACTTTCATACTAGGCAATGTGGGTGAAGTGTCTTGCCTAAGGACACAACAACAGTTTTATGCCACTGGCACCCCCCTGTGGTACCTGGAATTCTTAGCAGTCTCCCATCCAAGTACTACCCAGGCCCAGCCTGCTTAGCTTCTGAGATCTGACAGGATCAGGGTTTGACAAGCTGGTATGGCCACAACAATTGGCAAGTGGAAACAACTGCTGCACACAACTGCTATTCTTTTTGAAATAAAGTAATGGAATAAGGATGTGAACTTTCTATTCTTCATTTTACACAAAAAACAACCACGTACCTATCCCAAATGACTAAGTAAGTAAGTAAGTAAAGTTTATTTATATAGCACTTTTCACAGGCAGGTCACAAAGTGCTTCACATACAAAAGACAAAAACAGCAAAAGATACATTCATAAAATAAAATCAGTCGTAGCAGCTCTAAACCTGAGAGGGAGGGAACGCTTGTTCAAAGAAAAATGTTTTTAGTTGCTTTTTAAAATCATCTACACTATCTAGAGAGCGTAGGCATGGAGGCAGTTCATTCCAGAGTTTAGGGGAGACGGCTTGAAAGGATCTGTCTCCTCGCACTTTAAAACTTGTCTGAGAGACCATCAACAGGTTTTGGGAGACAGACCTCAGGCTACGGACCGAGGTGTACGGCTTTATCTGTGATGTCAGCAGAAGTCTGGTCATGTCGGGCCCTAAAGGTCAAGCACCAAAAGTGGACATGAAAAAGAACAGGGAGCCAGGGTCAGGATTTTAAGATGCTAGTGATACGAGCTCTAATGGTGGTGCAGGTCAGGAGCCTTGGGCAGAGTTTTGGACCATCTGCAGCCGGGGTCAGTTCCTTCTTGCTCAGGCTGGTAAACAGACTGTTAGGATAGTCTAGTCTTGAGGACACAAACACATGAATTACCTTCTCTAACTCAGCTTCAGAAATCATCATACGAAGTTTAGATATGTTGGAAAAAGCAGTGTTTAGTGAGTTGTTTAGAGTGGCATTGTATCGGAGTAGAGAGCGCAACATGGACATTGAACTAAGACACCCTGAAGCTCTCACCTCCTCTGTGTTTTTATGAAGTTGAAGTAATTGGAAGGACAAACATTAAATAATGCACAAAATCTGTTATTTTCAAAGGGTAGACACGAAAATGAGAAATGAAATCATATCTGAAAGAGCAGTACAAACAACAGAAATGTTTAAATCATTTCATATTGTTAACTTAAAGCTTTTGTCACTCACACTAGGGATGTACAGTATACTCTTACTAAATAGTAAATTGGTTCAAGTCCTATCTAGAAGACAGGAAGTATTTTGTTGAAATTGGAAACTGTGTCTCAGATCACATGGCCCTGACCTGTGGGGTGCCTCAGGGGTCAATCCTGGGCCCCCTGTTGTTCAATCTCTACATGCTGCCATTAGGCCAGTTAATAAGCAGCAATAACGTGTCCTACCACAATTATGCAGACAACACTCAGATCTACGTCTCTCTGGCAGCAGGAGACTATGGACCAGTGGACTCACTTGGTCACTGCATCCAACAGATCAGTGTGTGGATGCAAAACAACTTTCTCCTGCTAAACTCTGACAAGACTGAAGTCATAGTGTTTGGTCCACAGAAACAAAGGGACAGTGTCAGCATCACCTCCAGTCTCTCTCTCTCTAAAACCTTCAAATCAGGCAAGAAATCTAGGGGTAATAATGGACTCAGACTTGAACTTTAAATCAATAACATCTGCAGCCTTTTACCATCTAAAAAACAGAGCAAAAAATCAAAGGTTTACTGTCTAAATCAGACTTGGAGAAACTTATCCATGCGTTTGTCTCCAGTAGGTTAGATACTGTAATGGTCTGCTTACTGGTTTCTCCAAACGAACTGTGAGACGCTGCAGAACATCCAGAACATCCAGAACATCCAGAACATCCAGAACATCCAGAACGCTGCAGCTCGGATCCTTACTCGAACTAGGAAGTACGAGCACATAAGTCCTGGTCTCAGGTCTCTGCACTGGCTCCTGTGCCTCAGAGACTTTAAAGCAGCTCTACTTGTGTACAAGTCTCTCCATGGCCGAGCACCAAAGTCCATCTGTGACATGTTAGTGTCATATGAACCATCTCGCACTCTGAGGAGCTCAGGGACCGGCCTCCTGCTGGTGCCCAGAGTCAGAACTAAACAAGGGGAGTCAGAGTTTCAGGTTCATGCAGCTAAAACCTGGAACAGTCTGAACATGTGAGACAGACTCTTCTGTGACGCTGTTTAAATCCAGACTCAAAACATTTCTGTTTAACTGTGCAAATAACTGAAAGGTTTTCATTCTCCACTCTTCTCTCCAATTTATGTCTCTCTTTTTAAATTTTAATCTTCATGATTATTTATGTTTTGATTTGTTTTTATTATGATTTTAATGTATTTCTTATTCTGTAAAGCACTTTGAATTACTTTGTGTACGAATTGTGCTGTACAAATAAACTTGCCTTGCCTTGCCTATACTCTTGTGGTTATTTTGAAGAGTGCAAAAGTGAAGAAACAAGAAAAAGCTGCAAATAGTGGTTGTGTATGGTGGTGGTGCAAAATTTTATCTTGAGTATGTTTTATGAATATGAAAAACTACAAAATGTAACTGACAAAAGGGAAATGAAAGTTGCAGTAACCCTTCTGCTTTTGTTTAATTTTAGATTGACTTAACATTTGGGGTTTTCGCACATATGAGTACACGAGTTCAATTCTCCAGTCCAAATGTAGTTCCTTTTTTTTTCACTTTCTTAAACGAGAGGTGTAAATCTACAATAAAAATGCCGTGCTGCTTTGACATTTAGTTAATCATCTGATAAATAAACAACAATTTAATTTAATTTGCACTTGAATGTTGTAGTTTTGATACAAAGAGAATGATCATGTTGTGGCACTCACGGTTTGGAGTTTGCAGAGCCTGTTTCAGATTGGAAGGATATTGGGTAGAACATGGAGCGGTCACTCTTCAGAGACTGGAGGCTGGACACCGCTGTCGAAGTCTCAGGCCTGATCATAGAAAATGGTTGCTCAGTTCTAAAAATGATAACGAGGAGATATTTTACTTCTATGGAGTATTAACTGCCACCTCATAACATATTTAGATCACCATGTTGCCTTTTAAAAATAAAAAATATTATTATTATTATTACTACAATTTTATCACTGGATTAAATATAATATTATCATTGCTGTTGGTAAAAACAACATCGAGTGCATATACATGACAGCAGTATCCCGGTTATGATCGGGTTTTTTGAGTTTCCCGGTTTCGTTATGGTGCATGTAAACACAGTATCCCGGTTTCAATATCCTGGTTATTAGAAACTAGAAAAATTAGAAAAGGGATACTGTAGCTGGTTTATTACCTCCGCCAAGGAGGTTATGTTTTTGCCGGCATTTGTCTGTTTGTTTGTTTGTTTGTTTGTTTGTCTGTTAGCAACATAACTCAAAAAGTTATGGACTGATTTTGATGAAATTTTCAGGATTTGTTGGAAATGTGAAAAGGAAGAACTGATTTCATTTTGGGAGTGATCCGGAAGAAATCCTGGATTCTGGATCACTTTGAAATTTTTGTTAACATTGTGGTAAATGCGGCCAAAAAATTTGTTTCTCAATATCTCGATTAATTATTGACCAAACCCCATGAAATTTGACTCAGGGATGGACAATGGGATCCTCTTTCATATTCCAAAGGCTGATCCGGATCTGATCCAGAAGACTGATTTTATCGCAATTTATATATAAAATGGGGGTAGTCCTTGGCGGAGGTCTGCGCTCTCTGAGTGCTTTTCTAGTTACAATAGTAACCGGGATACTGTGGAATGTAAACACAGTATCCCGGTTACTGCAGCATAAATTTGAGTGCGCATGCGTCCAAAAGACAAATATTTTTCAGTCTTTTCACCACAACAGTAGTGACATAAATAAAGTGACCAACATAAATAAAGGGACCATACGTGAGTGAAATGACTGCGCTAAACCTGCACACGTACATGAAACATCTCCTTTACGATATATGCACAGAACAGACTCACCATCATCAGCACATCCTCTGTCACAAAAAGAACTCACATAATCCACTGAGTCGTGTCTTTTACTCCGAAAGAAACTGATCGCATCAGCGGCACAAGGAGCAGCTGTTTTTATCACCGCTAACAGTTTATGCTAATTAGTCATGCGGTCTTAAATTTCGTTTCTGTAAAACGTAAACAAATGTGGCAAAGCTGAATTGTATTATCAAACAGGCTGATGTGGTTATGGTTTATATGTTATAAAGTTGAGTTTATTTATACAGAATATTTTAATAAAAAAATCTACACTTTGGGTTTGATCTACGTAGTGGATTGTGGGATATCTCAGAGTTCTGTACCGCTGATTAGAAACTCACGAGAAAGGAGCTCATGGTTGTTTGTATTTTTCCTGGTTTATTACATTAAATTAATTTTTGCCCTTGTGCATTTGTAAGATTATACCAAGAAACCGGGATACTCCATTTGATCATGTATACGGGGATATCCCGGTTTCTCAGAGCGCATGTATACACAGTATTCTGAATACTGACATAACCGGGATACTGATGTGCATGTAAACGCACTCACTAAAACATTATAGACTTGGTTCTCGTAGACTTGATGTTGTGTGCACTTTAGCTGCAACAGTGTGGGTTATGTGGTCTCTTTCCCTTCTCTGGTTTTCTGTCAATCATCATTTCATCTTTACACTGTTTCTTTATGACTCTGGGCCGCTGCAAGTCATTTTTATTTTTAACATGGGGTGCTGTGAAAAAGTTTTTTTGTTTTTATTTTTATTTTTTAAACCCTCTTAGCCTATAGACCTGTTTAAAATACATTTTAAATGTGAATAAATAGACTGAAATTCAAATATTATAGAGATACACACTTTAATCTAGTCTCTCATTATTATTATTTTTTAAACTCTTTGTTATTATAAATATTCCCCTTGTGGATCAATTAAGTCTCCCTAAATGTAAATCTAAAACACAGGTTACAGATATTTTATTAATTATTCATATAAATATTCATGCAAGTATACATGTATCTACTACACATCTATCTAATACAATATACACACATTTCATATATGTGTGTGTGTGTGTGTATATATTTCCATACTTTAGCTCAAAAAGGATTGAGAAAAGATAATACATTCAATGCCATAGTGTGCCCTGCAGAAGATCGAGCCAATATTTATATTTGTTTATTTTTATATTGATAGAAATATAAATAAAAAAGTATATTTAAGTATTTAGGTTTGTAAATATAAATGATCCTGCTCTTCCTTATTTGCAGTGCACTCACCGTGTGGGCTCCTTCAGGATCACACTGTCCTCCCCCTCCACACCCTTCATGATGCGTCTCTGAAAGGACAAAGCACAGAGGGTTTGTTCAGAGCATTTAAAGGTTTATTACGTCACTTTTTTGGTTTAGGGTGTGAAACCTTTAAATTTCCATGGAGATGTTATTGCTTTGCCTGGATGTCCTCAAGTCTGCGCACTCTGCACATTTACCATCACTGTCTGTTTCTTTTGTAGGCCTGTCTGTACGAGTTTGAGCAGCTCTAATTTAGTATGAGCACCATTCTGTTTGACTTTACTCTGTTAGTATAAGAGTTTTATAAGGACTACACTTTAAAACCTGACCTATCTGTGCCCTCAAATACAAAACATGTTCAAATCAAATACAGCTTCTGTTTTTCAGAAAGCAGAATGAGCCTCACATGAGTCTCTCATTTGGGTTGCCAGTTTGAGTGCTGAATTCCAGTTGGTTTAAACCTAAAAAGCCTCTCTCTGATCTGAACAGTCACTACCTAAACCCCGGCATCTTCAGCCAATCATGGATTGAATGTTTAGGATTATGATGGAAATAATTCACACCAAAATCTTTTCAAAATATTATTAAAGCAAAAAAGTGTCCTATCTCCAAAATATCTCAGTAAATGTCATACCGTGAGATGCATATTATGATAATATCGTACCGAGAGATTTGGATGTCATTACATCTATATAGTAAAAACAGTTTAGTAGTCTGTTTGTCCTGGTTTTTATGAACCTGTCTCTTCTTTAACCTGAGATTTGTGTCAGTTAATATCACTTAAGAATAATTTCACCCTCTGACTCTTGAGTCTGTAGTGTGTAGGTTTATGTAGGTCAGCGTGGCCAGTACTTCGCTTTGGATTTGAGTGCTTCTTATATAAATACACCGTGTCTGTGTTGGTCTCGCGATGTGAGCAGTCACATGTTCTACTGCAGCACGACCCTCAGTGTCTCAGGCGTCTGTCGCTGAACAAGTTTAACAAGATTAACAACTTTAACCAAAGTAAACGACAACATGGAAAGTTTTGATGACCGTCTCACTGAAGAATGAACACCCTTATGTAACAGATAATACTCCCTACAACTGTACAATTCACCCTTATGTAGCAGATAATACTCCCTACAACTGTACAACAATTCGACCCTTATGTAACAGATAATACTCCTACAACTGTACAACTACTTATGTAACAGATAATACTCCCTACAACTGTACAACACTCGACCTTATGTAACAGATAATACTCCCTACAACTGTACAACTGTACACTTATGTACAGATAATACTCCCTACAACTACAACAACTGTACCTTATGTAACAGATAATACTCCCTACAACTGTAAACAACTCGCCCTTATGTAACAGATAATACTCCCTACAACTGTACAACAACTTGACCTTATGTAACAGATAATACTCCCTACAACTGTACAACAACTCAACCTTATGTAACAGATAATACTCCTACAACTGTACACAACTCAACCCTTATGTAACAGATAATACTCCCTACAACTGTACAACAACTCGACCTTATGTAACAGATAATACTCCCTACAACTCCCTACAACTGCAACAACTACCTTATGTAACAGATAATACTCCCTACAACTGTACAACAACTCGCCTCAGATAATCTCCTACAACTGTACAAAATCACCTTATGTAACAGTATACTCCCTATAACAACTCAAATAAACTAATACTCCTACAACTGTACAACAACTCGACCTTATGTAACAGATAATACTCCCTACAACTGTACAACAACTCAACCTTATGTAACAGATAATACTCCCTACAACTGTACAACAACTCGCCCTTATGTAGCAGATAATACTCCCTACAACTGTACAATTCACCCTTATGTAGCAGATAATACTCCCTACAACTGTACAAGAACTCACCCTTATGTAACAGATAATACTCCCTACAACTGTACAACAACTCGACCTTATGTAACAGATAATACTCCCTACAACTGTACAACAACTCGCCATTATGTAAACAGTATAATACTCCCTACAACTGTACAACAACAACTATGACGATAATACCCTACAACTGTACAACAACTTCACTCCCCTACAACTGTACAACAACTCACCTTATGTAACAGATAATACTCCCTAACTGTACAAAACTGATTATGTAAACAGATATAATCCTACCTGTACAACAACTCAACCTATGTAACAGAAATACCTACAACTTGTACAACAACTCGACCTTATGTAGCAGATAATACTCCTACAACTGTACAACACTCAACCTTATGTAGCAAGATAATACTCCCTACAACTGTCAACAACTCGACCTTATGTACAGATAATACTCCCTACACTGTACAACAACTCACCTTATGTAACAATAATGTATAAACAACACTCAACTGTACAACAACTCACCTTATGCAACAGATATATCCCTACAACTGTACAACAACTCGACCTTATGTAAGCAGATAATACTCCCTACAACTGTACAACAACTCGACCTTATGTAACAGATAATACTCCCTACAACTGTACAACAACTCAACCTTATGTACAGTAATACTCCCTACAACTGTACAACAACTTTATGTAACAGATAATACTCCCACAACTGTACAACTCGCCCTTATGTAACAGATAATACTCCTACAACTGTACAACAACTCAACTTATGTAACAGATAATACTTGTAAACCTGTACAATAATACTGTACAACAACTCGACCTTATAACAATTAAAACATACAATAGATAATACTCCTAGTAAACCTTATGTAACAGATAATACTCCTGTAAACAACTCGCCTTATGTAAGATACTCCCTACACTTTACAACAACTCGCCCTTATGTAACAGATAATACTCCCTACAACTGTACAAAAACTCACCCTGACTGTATGTAACAGATAATACTCCCTACAACTGTACAACTCACCCTTATGTAACAGATAATACTCCCTACAACTGTACAACAACTCACCCTTATTGTATGTAACAGATAATACTCCCTACAACTGTACAACAACTCAGCCATATGAAAGATAACTATGCCCTGTCAATCATCTCATCATATCATTTTTGCACTTTTATTTTGACATGTACATTTGCTGTTTATTTAGAATTTATTGTAACCATTTATATATTTTACTCTTTGTTATTGTGCTATATTGTGAGCTCCTGTGTCCAGATCATTTATTTTGTGGATCAATAAAGTTTGTCTAAGTCTAAGAAGTTTTGAATGCAATTATTTATTTAAAAATGCTTTTAAAAAATAAGAGTTTTTTTTTGTTTTTTGTGTTTGTTTGTTTTAATAGCACAGTGGTGATCATTATAAACATTAAAACTAGTATTAGGTAGAATGAACCCAACAGAGTACGTAAATACAACCTACAAAAAATAACCCAAAATAAACTGCTGGGTCAGAATAACCCAGAGTTGCGTTATTTTATTTTATTTTGTTTTTTTATTTTTAGTAAATTTATAGCCCAGCATTTTTGTGTATGAGAGTGAACGCGACTTTAGCCATTTAAATGATCCAATCCACTTTATTTCTATAACACATTTCATAAACAACAGTGTTGGGAGTAACGCGTTATAAAAGTAACAAATTACTGTACTGAGTTGCTTTTTGTTGTAACGCAGTAATGTGCCGTTACAGGGAAAAAACTATAATATTTTACTCAGTACAAATGTCAGTAACTCGCGTCACAATGATTTTTTTAACCTGGATTGAAGTGGTGGATTTTTCTTCATACAAATTCGCTAAAATCACCGCGATATCAGCAGCGGTGAAACACCAGAGACGCGGAAACATTGAAGAACTCCACTCTGACCTGGTTCAGTCCTGGTTCAGCACTGGTTTAGTCCTAGTTTAGTCCCGTCCTGGTTTAGTCCTAGTTTAGTCCTGGTTCATTCCTGGTTCAGCTCTGGTTTAGTCCATATACGGCGCAAAAGTTCAAACATAATAATGACAATAAATATTAGGGCCGGGCACGATAACACGTAAATTTTGCATTAACTAATGAAGTCATTATCGCCGACATTTATTTTAACGCCATTAACGCAGTTTTTATTTTAATTTATTTTTTTTTTATTGTAAACGTGTGTTGCTCACTGTCTTTTATTTTGAAAAAGTCCACCGTGAGCGTTTCTTTAAGTTTGACATCTTTTCTTTACACTTTTTTAAACTTTTTTCTGACCATGTGAGATGCAACGTGTCCGAGCCTCCACGAGCCGCTGGCTCGGCCGCAGGCTCCGACTCCGGCCGCGGGCTCCGGCTCTGGCCGGACCAGCCGTGCGCTCTGAGCTGAGCTTGTTTCTTTAGTTCAGCGCTGCAGGGGGAGTCACTGATTTACCCAGATACCATTGGAAGAAAAAATGTGATTGGTCCATTTCCATTCCATTATATTAACCCTTTGTTTCCCAAGAAATATCAGTCCAAGTTTATAACACTGATCTAGAAATTATTACGAGTGTCGTGTTTATTACTCACTGCATAAAAAATATTGGGAAAATATATTAGTAGGATAGTACAAAAGTCTTGAGCCTTCACTGAACACCTTGAAGACTCTGAGGTTCCCCTGTGAAAGAAATGCTGTTTGCACAACAAATGTGTGACTCTTTCATTTACATTTCCAATAAAAGTGCAGCTATACACTACTTTTTAATTCATTAATTGGTTTTGCGTATAATATGCAATTAATGTGATCAATTTTTAAAATTTTTGCCCAGCCCTAATAAATATATAATCATAAAATAAACGCTCAATTCAACCAGTAAAATAAAATAACAATAGAAGAATAACAATAAATTAAACCAGTAAAATAAATTCACCACCTGAATAAAACGTTGCACTGGAATATTAAAAATTGAACTGTTATTGCGAAGTCAAATATGTTTCCCGTGTACAAAGTTGTCACTCGTGTTTGGTTTTTTTGTTAGTTTTAGTTTATTTAACGCTTAAAAAAGTTAAATGAAGCGTTCCACACTCACCTCTTCGGACGAGCTCAGATCAGAGTGAAGTACTTATTGTTTTTTGTGTTTGTTT